CATTAATTTATGTCTTTATTTACTGAAATAGTTTACACTTTCTTTATTATGTGTAACAAGCAGTTGCTTATCGTAGGTTTCGTACTCGATCTCTAGTCAAAACGCAAATATTTTATTGGTCCGTAATTATGTTGGTCTTCCTGAATACTGTGTGTGTTTCATCGGAACACTATGGTCAACCGGAGTGGTTAACTGTTTTTTTAAGTCAGTTATCTTTTTTTGTACTCTAATGATTTTTTTTCATTTTACAATATTTTTCCTGTGGTTGCTATATTGGCTAAATGGTAACGCTGAATAACGCTGATTATTCAGAATTGGTTGTCGCTGAATATTAGTGTGTTACTTTCATTTTTTTAGGATATGCTGAATATGTATTTTTGGGTGTATTTATGTTCGAAATGTGTTTAAAAATTTTTGCCATGGGAACAACAACATATTTTAAATCCAACTTTAATCGTTTTGACTGTATCGTCATTATTGGAAGTGCCTTTGAGGTTGTTTGGGCTGAAGTCAAAGGAGGCTCTTTTGGTATCTCTGTTCTCCGAGCTCTACGGTTACTTCGTATTTTCAAGTTAACATCGTAAGTTGAAAATTTATCTGTTTGCTGGTATCATTTCTGACCATTCCGGCTACTTTTGGTGTTTACTGTGGTATGAATTGGTCATTTCGGTGTTAAAATAAGAAAACTTATCGGGTGAATGCAATTTTGATTTTTAGATATTGGTTATCGTTACGAAACTTAGTTCGTTCTTTGATGAACTCTATGCGTTCCATATTGTCGCTGTTGTTCCTTCTATTTTTATTCAGCGTTATATTTGCCTTACTTGGTATGCAGCTCTTTGGTGGAAAGTAAGTTGTTTTTTTTATTTTTGCTTATTATTGTGCGTAACCAAAAAAAAGCAATATATCTTCTTTATTTTTAATTTTTTATACTCTTAAAACAGCATCAGCAAAAATTTTCAATGTTTTTTTTACAAATTATGAATTGCTGTTGAGGGTGCCAAAGATTGCTATTTTTTTGCCCAGTAAATTGTTATTCCGTTAATCATTTTTACTGCCTTTGGGTTGCATCGAATAAAATGCATAAAAGGTCTTATAACTTTTTTTTTGATGCTAAAAATATTTTAATGATGATAGTCTACGTATTTATCGGCAAATAGCTTCTGTTGTTTTACGTTCACTGAAGTTTTTTTGCTATTATGTAAATTAGATAAACGAAAAACAAATTAAAATTGGAAGAATGCTTTTTTTTTGCAATTTAAACCAATAGCATTAGTTTACAAATTAAACAAATAGTTCTATACTGTTGAAGGTAGATGTCGATAAGGCAGGTAAACCAGCAATGTTAATGGGATAAAAAGTCTCTGAGAATGCACTAAGTTAAGCAAATAAGGAAAAACGGATTACAACAAAACTAAATTGGTTGAGTAATCCGCTTCTTTTTGATTTATGAAAGCGAGAACAGTAGACAATACTCTTTATCTGTTTTATCTGTTTTTATAGGCATCTTTTGAAAAAAGCTTTTTTTTCTAATAAAATTTAAAATACTTTAACTTTTTATAGCGATCATGTTTTGCAGTCTCCAAAACTACTTATTGTTCTACGGATACGTTGTTAAACTAACTGGCATAGAAACAGTGGTCTTTTTCATGCTTTTCTTCCCTAACTACACCAGTTGAAAAAAAAATAGTAATTTCTGCGACTGATACACGATTTTAACATCTCTCATTTTTTCAGAACACTAATGTCATTTATGATTTTTTCAAAGTGCCATTACTAAAAATACAGCAAAACTATGGATGGCATTTGCAGAAGGAAAATTTTTGGTTTGTCTCCCATGGGAGGGAAGGCAACAAGAGGAAATCGAAATTACGAAGCTTAGCGTATAAAACTGGAGTAAAAGCTGATGAGACAAGGAACGAGGGTAAAGGGGTAGGATAAAAGGGACTTAGAGGACGGAGAAATCTGAGATTTTTTTTTTGGAACGGCAAGGGAATGGATAGGAGAAGTTCGCAAACTTTTCTTTAATTTTCTTTGTTGTTCTTTTTTCTTTTTAAGCTGTTACAAAGAAAATAAAGCGGTAAACTACTTTGTTTCTTCTAAATTTTCTTCTTCAAATCTTTAATTCAAAAAAAAAAATTTTTTATTTTTTGAAATTCTTCTTACCTTCATTAAAAGCAGCAATGAAAATAGCACGAAAAGGTACTTAAAATTTTTTTATATTGCCGTCTTAACATTTTGATATTTTTTTTTTGCATCTCTTAAGTTTCTTTTTGATGTTCAAAATTTATGAGAGCTGTCTATAGCAGCAAAACAGTTGAAATAACCGAATCACTGGACACTTGATGGTAGTTACAGAAAAATAATAACGAAAATCTGGAAAAATACAACAAAAAGTCATTAAATACTTCTTCTAAATAGCTGTGAAAAGACAGCACATTCAAAAGTTTTGTAGCATCTTGGCGAAATATTGAGTTGCAAAGTCATTATTCACTTCTTCTAAATAGCAATATTCTTTTTCTGTTTTTAAAGTTATTCAGCTTTTCAATGTCTACCGAACAGAAACATACATTTCTGCACAGTATTTGTTTCTATTTTTTCCTTTTTTAAATTTTTTTAGTTATTAAGGAAATTAGCAAGGAAAGATTACAAAATTACTCAAAGATGACGTTGGAAAAAGAGTTGAGAAAAGGAGAAAAATGTGGTTTTGATGTGCTACAGTGAAGAAAGCAGAAAGTTTCTGGTTAAGAAAAATAGCAGTAACTGGTCGTAATAAGCAGTATTTTTGCTTTAAAATAACGTTTACCTGGGATAGTAGTTAAAAAATTTTTGAGTTTTATGATACGATTCAAACCAAAATAGAACTACTTACATTACCTATATTTACTTGTTAAAGTACCGCTTAACACTTAAAAAGTCTCAAAAAACTATGTCATTGGCTACGTTTACATGTTACTGAAAAAATCGTGAAGGTAATAAAACGATTTAAGCAACAGTTGCATATCTGAAAATCCATTTTTTTTTTTTT